CATTCGGAAGTGGCGTGATCGAGTATCGTGCGCTGCCTCGAGCGAGCCGCCGGTGAGTGTGTTCAGCTCAGTTTCCCTACAGCGATGTCTGGACCGTCCCGTCGGCTGCTGAACACCGTTTGCCTGCTATTGGGCCTTGCGGTCTGATTGGAGGGGCACTTCTCCGGAATCGACAATCCGATGCCCCATTAGGGAACAGGACGGTGTCGCATGACCACTGATGGCACCTTCTCAAGCACTCTAGGCCATCAACGGCGAGCTGCCGCTGTTGCGGGTCCCTCCGCTTTGGAACTCGAGGGTGAAACGAGGAGCTTGACTTCATCGCAACGTTGTGAGCATTTGAGGAGGACCCATGCTTTCCGTAGTGAATTTCCGTGGCGGTTCTCTTGTTCCTTACTTAGGTGCATTCCTTGATCAATCAAGCGGCACGCTCGTGAGATTATTCGCCGCCTGAGTGGAGAGGGACAGCGTATCATTCGACAGATACGGAACACAGGACAAGGCTCCATGGATGACAATTGCGCGGATCAGCGAACAAGGATATACAGAGCACCGTATACGATACTGAAGCCGTACTGACGGATATTATAGCAAGCAATAGCGAGCTAATGGATCCGACGCGACGTTGTAGTGCAGGACGACGGTGGGCGACGGTGTCCGGACCTGGCAGGCGCTTACCACGTCCCGGCCGATCGCACTCTGCCCTTGCCTTCAACGTCTGTGCTTTACTACTACCTCGGACGCTTTGTCACTGGTGCTTGTCGTGATGCACTGCGCTCGCACCGCCCTCTCGTCCCATCCGACGGCCACGAGTCCTGCGCAACAGTAGCTTATCGCCTAACGCACTCTTGCACGACTCCATCTCCGTACATGCCCACTCGTCGCTCCTCCCAGGCGAGCTCAACCGTCTCCTTCAGTCGCAAACCCGACGTTGACACGCAGTCGCTCAGTAAGGATCTAGGAGAACATATACTAGATTCTCAGCGAAGTTCAAGGTGAGTAGTCATACTCCAGGCCCAACCGCCCCCCCGGTGTCTGAAGGACTCGCCTTTCCTTACCTAGCACTTGCTTCTCACTGCTCTCATAGGTAAATCCGTCATTGCATGCCCTACAGACACCTGAGTCACAGGTCTGCCGCACAACGCGCATCACCTCAAGCAAGAGGTAGTCTTGTTCACAGAACGCTCCGCTGAGTTTCTCTATAGCGTCGCGCGGAAATCGCAACTGTCTTAGACGCAGCTCGACGCAAGGAGGGGAAGACCTGTAGGTCTCTATCGGGGAGGGCAACAGACGAGAGCGAGATCTGGACTGCGGGCCCTGTCCCCTGCTGGACGCCTTCAGTGTGGCGTCGCAGCTGGCAATTTGGTCAGAGGGGGCACGGTTTCGGGACAGACAACATCGCATCGCATCAATAGAGTCAGGGTCAGACACTGCGGGCGCTGCATGACCACTGACAGCATTCTCATAGGCCGATGTGGAAGTCGACGCCGAATTGCCGTTGTCGTAAATCCCGCCGCCTTAGGACTAAAGAGAGAAACGATGAGGTTCGTTAATGATGTCCTAATGTTAGTTACGAGCTTTGATATCTCACGCGATTCGAAGGAGAACTGTAGGATTAGACATGCAGTCCACGTGCAAGCGCGTAAAGAATTCTGGCGCATAATGTGACTTTACAGATAGACACGGAGCAAGCTTGTGCCATCCATCGCTGCATTATCAGAAAGGGTTGGTGTGTGATTCAGCAAATACAAGATGTAGGACAAATATCCGTGGGGACGAGAGTCGTATGTATCACTGAACGAAGCTACACAGAATATCTGAGGCGAGATCAAGACCGGTTAGCATATATACCTAGTACATCGTGATGCGGGTGTGTGAGATGCGCTGGGGAATGGGAACAGACGATTCATTATACAACTCTATTCAAAACTTGGATTCGTCCGGCATAAAGTCCTGTACGCGGCGACCCAACACAGTCCCGTTCCATGCCGCAGACCACAACATTGTCCCGTCGGGAGTATATGCAACGTGCCAGACTGAGTCACCGTGGTCGGAGAGCGTCACAAGGCAAGATCCATCACTCGTCCTCCACACCCTCACCGTCTTGTCATACGATGCAGAGGCGATATACTTCCCGCACGGGGAGAAGCACGCCTTGCGCACCCAACTCTTGTGTCCCTCAAGCACGTGTATCAGGGCACCAGTGCGTACATCCCACGTCTTCACTATCTTGTCGTTCGAGGCTGAGAGCAGCAGCCGACCATTCGGGGAAAAGGCCACATCGTTGACGCCACCTGTGTCATCCTTGCAGAGCAGAGGCTCCTGCCTTGTCCCTATGTCCCAAACGCGGATCGTCCTATCACTGTATCCAACAGCGACGTGGGTGCTCTCTGGACTGAATGTGGCTGCTGAGGGATCTATGGTCAGGGTCTCTCCCTTGAATCGGAGCGGAAGGTATGCGCCAGACGCCATATCACAAACACCACAGCTGTCCCGATCGCCGACCAGAAGCCAGCGGCTGTCAGGTGAAAACAGGGGCTCGATGGTTGTTGTCTTGCTGGGGCCTTGAAAGGGTAGCGGTTGGAATGTGCGTCCATCCCAGAGTCGCATATCGCCGCCGCGCTGTCGGGATGCAATGTAAGCACCGTTTCCTGACCAAATGCAGTCTTTAACGGTACGTGTGTGACCTTCAAGGGTGGCGAAAAGTTGGTGTGAGCTGCCGCTGATGTCCCAGATTGCCACCTTCTCATCATCCCCTGCGGACGCGAGGTATCGACCGTCTGGCGAGAATGCGAGACTGTGGACCTCCACACGGTGGGCAAACCACTCTTGCGATATGCAGAAAGCTCGGGCATCCCACAGGATTATCGTGGAATCCCAGGAGGCCGTCGCTACCCATCGCCCGTCTGGGGAGACAACAAGTGCAGAGACCTGCGAGTCATGCCCGGGCTTTCCAGCTATGCAAGTCAACATTTAGCTTAGCACCATGGTTGGTGAGTGACACTCACAGTATTTGGGCTGTTCTGCCAGCGACCAGTGCTCATTTGTTTTGGAAAGGCACCTCCTGAATTCCTCCATACCAGAGATCGTCTTCCGCATGTTCAAGCGAAGGCCACGTTCAACTGTGAGTACCACACGATGGGCAGCGTACTTGCTGAGGATCTTTTCCAATGCGCCATAAAGCTCCAGGTTTTCCGGTCTACGGCATTCGCGATATAGGTTCCCAGTGTTATCCTGCCAGAGGTACACAGTGACGGTGCCGATCTTCATTGCTACCGGACCCCCCAAGATCTCCACAGCGCGTTTGATCTCCTCTGTAGAAGCATCTATCCACCACGTGAACGAGATTTCATGAGTCCCGTCTGATAACCGGGGGAGTATGGACGATGTTTCTAGTATGTGCGATGAGATTGCAGGGATTGTGAGAAGAATTGAAATACGAACGATGACGGTTGAGGGTGGGAAGCGAAGCGGGAGTCACCGGTGGACCTATCCCGAGCAATGATTTCGTGATCTCCTCGTCTACCCAGGGAAGTATCTGTAGGAAGATGAGTCGAAGTCACGATCGAGAACCAATACGGAGACAACCAATAACAACACTCACATTCAACGTTCTCAGACGCAGTTGGCGAGACAGACTCTTTTGCACCAATGGGCTGGCTTCGCCTCTTTGATATATGTTCAGCCGTTCGCATGTGAGGTGATCGATGCTCGGGAATGCAGCAAGGAACTGGAGGAAAGCGGTGCAAGTCGAGAATTGAGCGTATGTGATAGTCAGGCTCCGAATCCCACATCCGAATCGCCTGCAGCAGAGTAGAGTGGAAGGGTGGCATAGTATTGGCCTCTCCTTAAACAACTCAAACGTGTCAAACGTTATATGACGGAGAGAAGGCAGGATAGACAGCAGAGGGTATGGAGCAAAATCCTTCCACCGAATCGACAGAGATTGCACGAAAGGCTGACGCTCGGGCTTCGCTTTGAGCACGTCGCAGAGATCAATGAGCCGATCCCTGCTTTGAGGGCGGACGTCCGTGAATAGGACGAGGATGCTACGAGGATGGAGGTCGCGGCAGGTGAGAGCTAAGGCAAGGATGGTGTCCGTGTCGTCGGAGCAGCAGTCGATGACGCTCTCGATGACTTCCACAGGGAGCGCGAGGTACTGCATGGTGGGCGGATTCGAGGGCGAGGGACGCGAGGAGTTCAGGCGGTCGTTGTTGGGAAACATGATGCGTCGAGAGCAAGTGTCGCTGGTGCGGAACGATGAGCTCGAGAGGGACTAGGGACGAGTAAGACAGCGTCTTTTGATCAGGCTGTGCCCATGGGGCGCGGTTTCTGAGTTTGACAGAGAAGACGTCGCATCCACAGCATGGACTCCGCACTTCACGGTGTCAATAGCGGGCAATTGATGCTCGTCATCACCGTGATCATCTCCTGGGTATCTCACGGTATACATTATTGCGGACATTGTGGACCACCTTAACACTTCTTGGTACAGCAACGCCGCGAGATCGTCATTGCGGCAAGTCTGTTTGTCGTTGAATGTGAGGTACACATTAGGCAATCAATGCTGCACGATACAGTATATTGTTATCTCCTGCTGTAGTTTGCGGGACACGCGTCTCAGTCATCGTCACGACCTATATTGCACCACATTACAACCTGACCTCTCACCAGGAAGGCATGCAAAGGCCCTACATGAAGCGATACCATAGTGATGCGCGACAAAAGTACCAAGAGCGAGCCGTCCGCTTCACAGCATCAATGACACCGAGTGTGCCTCGCGATGCACGCTGCGCCCATGATCGCTACCATATCGCAGGAACCACCCGCTCTTCGCCGTGTGCGATTCAGGACTGTACTTACGCTCCAACTTGGATGCGAGGACAGGGACGGGGTGGGAGACGCCTTCTCCACGGTCCATAGCGAGCTAGTCGGCGAGCGTGACCAGATCATCCAGATTCCGTCCCGGACGTAGCCAAGGAGCACGGAAAGCTGCCTGTTTCGTAGCTAGTGTCCGGTCTTCACGATAGACGTAGCTCAGCTCGGGTATGGGCCATGGGAGGGTGAGGTAGTGCAGGTAGTTACGATCTGTACAATCGACCTGCCTGAGTCGACGGACGACGGCAGGGGTGTTTGCGAGGATGTTCTGCCAGGAATTCTGCCATCGGCGGCGGAGTGTCGCGAGTAGCCTGGCGAGGTCAACGTCCTCGGCGGGCAGACTTCAAGTTTAGCTTCACAGCAGATCTTGAGTGTGTGGGCATCCTGGAGGTGGAAGATTACGCCGTCCTATGCGTGAGAACCGGGACGTCAGCATTCGACCTTCGACTCGGAACGCAGGCCTCCAGACACTGAGTTGAGTTCGACGTCCGACCCCGGAAGAACGAGATGGATGGTTAGTAAGACGGCCTGAGTTGGGCGGAAGAAGGTAAGAACGGGAACGTACCTGCTGCACCTCCTCCAACCAAGCGGCTCGTGCGCTATCGCCGTGATCTCCCCGCGCGCCGTGCCAACCGCGTCCGCCCCAAACGCCCCGCCATATTTGCTGCCACCATGGCCACTGGCTTGGTTGCTAGGATGAGCCCACGATTTCGCGATAGTAGGGCTCGCAGATGGAAGGGGAGTCGGCTAGTCGAGCGCTGTGTGCGGTTCAAAGGCTGGAGACATCGTCCTTGACGAAAGGGTGGCCGACTCAAATAAAAAGCGTCTTTGTCGGATGCGCACAGGTCCATATGGATGCATCGAGAATAGTGCGAGGCGCGATGGGTGGGTTATTCGAGGGTGTTGGACGCGTCAGGACGTAGATCGTGAGGCTGCAGTATGGCGTGAACTCTGCGCTACAACACAAGCATGACCAGGGACATTCTCAGGAGACGTGATGAAGACGTACCAGAGTAGAGGATGGGTTGCTATAAGACATGGGCATAGGTAGTCGATCCCATCTCGCCCGCGCGGCCGCTCTGGAAGGATTAGACCCACGAAGTAAAGCTTCTCCTACCTATGCGCACCATCGGAATCTACATGCCTTGAGCACTGGCAGAGGCAACATGTTCAGATTGCCAAAACAAAAAGGCAATGGTCGGCGTTGTCTACAAGCACATCGCACATGTTAGGACGACGCATACAGACTATATGCACAAGACTCACTTTCCATATTCTCCGGAAATATCCTCTAGCATTGCTCGTGTCCATTCAAAACACCCAGAAGACACCGGTACCTTGAGGCATAGTGATACCCTGCAGGCTGGTGACAGGGTGGGGCGAATATGATGAGGCTCCTCGAGGATGGTTGCATCAGACTGACAGGGCGGTCATAGTAGTGCGTAGGGGCATGTTTCTTGATCATGAGTTTGGATGCTTGTGAGTGCTTGGCTAAACATCGGGAGGATGCGCCAGTCGATGAAGATGCCTTGCGCGGACAAAGCCGAGGGGAACACAGCGAAGGGGCGGCATGCTCTGTATCGAGATGCTAATCAAAGTAGTGCAGGATGACGTCCCCGTCCGGATATAACGTCGAGAGTGTTCAAGTAATGGCCAGCAGAGGATGAATGCGAGACAATGTCAAGGACCAAGCCGAGTGCGCGTTACGCCTAGTCGTCTAGACGCTCTCAGGCGGCCTGGACCTGTGTCTAGACGACTCGGAATCTCTGCACAGGCCAGCTCTCGTCTACTAGGCGACCTCAATCGTCTCCTTGTGTCACACACGAGCGAGTAGCATACAACACCCCAGCTTGAGTCCCGGAGAGTGTATACGGGCCTGCATGGTCAACCATGTGTAAGGCGAGGACTCATGTTTCAAGACATGCAATGTCTTCCTCCATGCAAGCCTCGGTTGTCTGACGAACCCGCCTTTTGCCTTCGCAGCCGTGGTTGCTCATAGCTCTCATAGGTACGTGTTTCGCGATTTCCAAACGCCATCTCCGCGTCTTCAGGAAATCTGCATTGTCCTCACGATATCGTCATTGTATCGCGCAGAGTTGCTCTGGTGCTCGCGCATTGGACCGGATGACTGTCAATGACTGATATCCTCTTCTGGGACGATGCTAGGTATCGTATACTGCAAATGTGAGTACTCATCCTTGTGTCCACGTCTGTCATCCTCTCCGAAAACACGAACATCATACCAAGTCAGGATCCCCTCCTTACAGCACTTCCCGCAGGGTACGGGCTGTCCACATCTTTCACCTCCCTTCCAACGATTCTCCCCGCACACGTTGCAAGACATTCGGAAGTGGCGTGATCGAGTATCGTGCGCTGCCTCGAGCGAGCCGCCGGTGAGTGTGTTCAGCTCAGTTTCCCTACAGCGATGTCTGGACCGTCCCGTCGGCTGCTGAACACCGTTTGCCTGC